TTGGTTCACGATGTATTATAATGCTGTAACGATATCAATCTTAAGCGAAAAGACCGACTTCAAATCACCTGGTTCATGGGCGGGTCTCATCATGGTGTAGTTACCACATTCCTTAAATTCACAAGAAATCTATACGCTATTACTAGTGGCGAAAATTCTGCAGCATTTTTAAACTTATACTGATGAAATTACAGGCACATGGGACTTGTCACCTTGTCTCTTAAAAAAAGCTATCCTTTTTTATTTTTGAACCGACTTTAAAAAAAGGAGGTTCTTAATTCGATTGTTTTTTTGTATGTATGTTACGCGATAACGGCATTTGTGTACCGATTTTGGCAGTAGTGGTTTCATTTAAATTCGAAGGAAATATTCCACCTGTAAAGGTGGCAAACTAGGGGATGAATCCGGTTTCGCTCACTTTCCGGTAGCGGATTTCGATAAAACTTGGCAAACAAATGTAATTCCACGTACTTTTGAGGTCGGTTTTTTTTAGTACTCTGTACTGAAATGATTTTGATGCCTAGTGACGTGACGAACAATTCGTGCGCGTGGTAGTTAGCGACACGCCTGTGTATAACAGTTGCAGTGCCACTCAGAGCTTTAAATCGCTAAGATCTGAGGGGCACTGCTACTGCACCCATCACCCTGACACATAAGGTATAAGTTGACAAAGCCCATGTGCCTGTAATTTCACCAGAACCCTTACCCTTCAAAACCGGAACGCGCTGCTTGGCGGCAGAAATAGGTAAGGTGGCAATATTTCCCTGGACGAACTCTTTCATAAGGAGCGCTACTACTCCTAAATGGTTTACCATACTTCGTATTCGTTTACATAAGTATTAAAATGCTGCAGTGTACTATGTGGATTTAAGCACCAATAAGAAACTTCTATATTCGGACGTATTATGAACTATCATGGCAGGCATATCATCTAGCTATACCTAAATGGACTGTGCTTATGAATTTTGTTAACTACAGCTATTAAAAGCTTAAAAATTGCTATAAAATGTAAGCTCAGGCAAAACAACCATTAGAAGGGTCTATTATTATGATTACGAAGCATAATTCTGACTATAGTGTAAACATTTTGAAATATAACAAATTGCTTCTGGGTAATTTTCAGATTAGTTTTCGTTAACTAATTTTGGTGGCAATTTTCATTATTTAAATATTCTACAATATTATCACATAATATTCGAGTAATTAAATTGACAACTATAACTAATTAAATTGTTTTTCTTTCATCAACTTTTTTCCTCGCTATAGTGAGGTGAAAAGTTGTGAGTTTCGCTCGGCAGCAAAGGTTTTTTGGATCTCGTGCCTTGAAATCCTCACTACGCTCAGGATTCTATTTATGTACCGGTCGCTTGGTTTCAATACAAGCACTCGCGGTAAACAACAACTTTGCGGGCTTGCATAACAAATAACTATTAATATTTCACTATAATATACTCGAATACTTAATTTGAATATTCTTTATTACACCAAAAAACATAAATTGATAATCTTATCTCTAAAAGAGAGCTCTTCCAGCCAACCCAAAGCAGTGAGAGCAAAGGCCATACGCGGACAACTGCAAAATAGTGTAGTATATATAAAAAATACCTACATAAGTATTATAAACACATAGAAATATAAATCGACCCTGGAAAGGTAAAACAATAAAACAAAAAAAAAATAAGGTGCATTTGGAAAATATTACTAGAGAGCTATTTAAAGTATTTTTTTAAGAAAAAATCGTAACTATAATTTTATTTGTTATGCAGAAAAGCTGAAACTGTCTAGTTTTCCATATAACAAATAAAACTAGAGTTACGATTGTTTTTTTTTTATTACTGTAATATTTCGCTCTTCTGTAATATTTTCCAAATGCACGTGAGACGTTTTATTTTTCCAGTGACGATATTATTGCGTATGTAAATAATAAAAAATTGCCAATTGAAAATTACCCATCACTACCTTAACGTCTACTACAGGGGCCTTACCACGTACCTTTATTACGATTCAGCTTAGGACCTAAAATGAATCGTTGTGAGACAGCGCTACATGAAGTGTATATCACCATCCCGCTTTTTTGACGTTACAAACCTACACTGGACTGTAATAAGAGTTCATGGTAAGACCCCAGGCCTACAAAAGGTGTCACCCGAGTTGCATTTCGATTAAGCCGGATATAAACACGCTCTTAGCTAGTCTTTGACAGCATAGATCCTCAACATAAGTAAAAATTTCTTCTTCTGCCTCGATTTTCTTTTAAAAGAAGCCACATTGTCCTATTCAAATGCGTCCAATTGTCAGTAAAGTCTTACTTATACATTTTAGGACTGTTGCCTATAATCGTTGGTTAAAGTAACTATATTATATTTATATAATGAAATGTATATCTGCTGATCTCTACTCTTTCGTTGAAATGCTCCTTTCTTAAATCATTTTAAATGGAAATTTATAAAACAATATTTGACTTCTACTAAGTAAAAATGGCGGGCTAAACAAGTTTTTCGAATGAACAAAACAAACGTTGCCTAAGTTTCAACACGGCGTAACTTTAGTATAATAAAACAAGTATGGTACCTCCATACAAACGTAGTAGGGCGACTTGTACGGACGCACACATTCGCATAATAATGAAAATGCGTAAAAATGCGAGATTATGCGAATGTGTGCGTCTGTACACGGTGCGAGTCAGGCGTGCACACACACACACACACACACACACACACACAAGTCGTGCTGCTACGTTTTGACAGTAAATCTACTGTTTTTGGCCGACGTCTACAGTTCTACTAATAATTAACGAAAATGTACTGTTCATGGCTTGCCTCTTCCCGCAAGGATAATAAAAATGTATCTTACATTTTTATTTTCAGTTATCAATATTGTAAGATAACACCAAAAACATAACAGTCTTTTTTCTTTGGATAGTAATGCAAAAATGAAAATGACCAATCAACTTTTGAAGAAACTCATTGAGTGTTTGAAAGTAAGTCCACATCTACTGTTTTTTTTCTCAATCTACTGTTTTTTGGCATACAAGCCGTGCTACTACGTTTTTATGAAGTTACCATACTTTTCTTATTACTTAATAAACTGAAAGTTTCATTTAATTTCTTCCTTACACTTAGTCAAAATTCGTTTTGTAAATACGAAAAACTTGCTTAACCCGTCATTTTTGCTTAATAAAAATCACAATTCGTTTTATAAATTAACCTTTGCCTATGAGTATCTATTCGTGGCAGCCTAAGGACCAATCACCTGTTATTCCCGTTGTATGTACTTGATTTTAACTTGTAACCAATACATGAACCATTAATTTACAACTATACTTAGTGCAGATTATAACTTTACTTCCATTTCTCTATACTCGAAAGTATAGAAAACTCACGTGCCCTTCTAAAGTCTAAGTAAAAAACCATAGGACGGGCCATGTCTAAAAACTGGACATTTTCTACTAAACATCTTTCCTAAACCTGTTTCTCAACAAGATTTGTTTCGGTATTCTTCCTATTACATCTCTTGCTTTTACCATTAACGGTAAAAGATTTCGTTTCCCTCTAAGACATACATTTTAAATAAATAAATAAATAAATAAATAACGCACACACTCAACATAGCCCCGCACTAGGGAAGCCCTGTGTCGCGGGTGCCATGGACACACACATAGACAACCACAAATTACACCCAAACTCACGAGAGAAATAATTGTAGGCCATACAACTATTTCTCCCTAATCGAACCTGGGACCTCTGCGTGGCAGTCATGGTAACCGTTCGGCCACGGAGGCAGTTATAAATAGGGCGGGAATTTCGGTGTACAAAATCTCGACAACTATTTTTGCATTTTCGAGACTCGAGATAAAAGGAATATCGAGACTTTTGAGACTTAATTAAACGTATTAAGAAATCTACTGAATTATATTAGTCATTTTTTTTTCCGGTTTCATGGACATGGCAACATTATAGTGTGGAACTTTAGCATAATTTGTGGAGATTGAAGAACAGTAGAGTAACCTAACCTCACTACAGAGTACTAAAAAAACCGACCTCAAAAGTACGTGGAATTACATATAATTACCAAGTTTTATTGAAATCGGTTACCGGAAAGTGCGCAAACCCGGATTCATTTTCTAGTTCGCCACTATACGGGACTTGACACAGGAGATAATAAAAATCGGTAGTATATTGAGAGGGAAAACGCCTTGAATTGGAGAATAGCAAAATCAACCATTAAAATAATTGCTCCCTAATAAAATTTAGGCGCTATTTACAAAAATGAATAGCCATCCTTAGAGGTGGATGATTTTCTTCAAAATTAAATAGGACCACTATGGAGGTACCCTCTTTCCAACAAAAAAGAATCATGAAAATCGGTTCACAAATACCGGAGTTATCGCGTAATATACATACAAAAAACACAGTCGAATTGAGAACCTCCTCCTTTTTTTGAAGTCGGTTAATAAAATAGGATCCTCTCTATCTGAAACTACATTAAACGCCGCTTGTTATTGCTTACGTGCCCACTTTAAAAATGAGAAAAAACCTTTCGTAAATATTTTTTGATTTTGTAAATTGTATTTTGACTGCCTAAATGCCTAGCCTAAAAATATAATAACGCACACACTCATAGCCCCGTACTAAGGAAACCCTGCATCGCGGGTATGGCCATGACCACACACATAGAGAACCACAAATGACATCCAAACTCACGAAAGAAATAAATATAGGCTGTACAAACATTTCACCCGATCCGGGCATTCAACTCCAGACTAGCGATAGCGATCGTTACTAAAAATAATCGAATTATTCGATTATAAACATAATCGAAATCAGTCGATTGTTGATATCAATTGGCTACTAAATAGTTACTACACTACACTTTTTGATTGTTGATCAAATATCGATTGTGAATCGAAATGGTTACTAATCAACTTTTTACTAATGTTTTATTGTTGATTGTAATCATCAGTAATATATATAAGATAAAAATCAGTAATGAATCGAGTAATTAGAAGAAGAGTAATTACTAAATTAATAACTATATTCGATTATTTTACGCTAAAGACGACTAAATCGAAAATCGAATATAGATAGTGCAACTATTGATTTATTTTGTTTTTTTTTAGTAACAATCACACACAATCATTAGAGGCTGTTATATGACAACCTACTTTTGCAAATAGTCTCGAAAGTCTCGTTTTTCCTCAATTTTCGAGATCGCACCATGTTTTGACTTTTTTTACCCGGTGCGCGAAAATGCACCGAGATTGAAAGCCCTAATCTTAACTTAATATTGAGATTTACAAAATTCCAATATTTAATTGGAAATATCTCTTCGCCCACACTTAATATTACACATGTAGTTTCATCATGCTATCAGTATTAAAATCAAGAGCTACAACGGAAATGATTTGTCTATTTCTTCAGCGTCGCATCAATCTTCAACCTCCTGCCACGAATAGACAGCCGTGGTCAATGTTCTGGAGGCATCGGGATATCAGGGAAGTTCTCCGGCAGCGGTGGGAACACGTTTGTCTCAAAGTGACCGGAGATGTTGCCCGGTGGAGAATAGTTGGCCACGACAATCACCTTGCCAGCTCTGGAACGCGCTTTACCGACTCCGAAGAAACGTGTTGCCACCCAGACCATTTGGGTAAAGTGTCCTGCAAGTAGAATAAAAGGTATTGGTACAAGATCAAATAAACAATCAGTAGCAGAAGAGCTCCTTGTGGAAGAGTTCGTCCAGGGAAATACTGCCATCACCTTACCTATTTCTGCCACCCAGCAGTAATGTGATCATTACTGCGTTCCGCTTTTGAAGGGTAAGGAGGCTGGTGAAATTACAAGCACTTCGGATGTGTCAACTTGTAGACAGAGGGTGATAAAGTGGTTGTGACCCTCATATCTTTGCTATTTAAACCTCTGAGTGGTACTGCAACTGTTATGGACAGGTGGTAGCTTACCATCAGGCGCACGACTTATTCGTCCTATTACTTAATATAATTAAAAAAACAAGTATAAAAAATTCGATCGATCGATTTCGAACTGACTGGATTCGAACCAGCGGCTGTCGCCTCAATGTGGCTACCGCTCTACGCAAGCTACGCATCGAATTTCTCTGTAGCGGATCTTTGTATTGGGTTCAAATTTCTCCGTTTCCGCCGTTTCCTCATGCTTCTATTGGGTGCTCCTACTTGTAGGAGTACGAGGTCTGATATATTCTTATTCTCCTACTGGTAGGACTAAAAGGATAAAAATGTCCTCGTGCCTACCAACGGGCTTTTTTGTCGCAGCGCCACCTATGTGAAATAATGAAAGTTTCTTCACTTATCCAGGCATCTTTACAGTTACCAAAAAACGGATAGAGATGTCGCTATATTAATTTGCAATATAATTTTTATTGAATATCATAATGTTTTTTTTTCTGAAAATGCTCCGTTAGTTCATTATTATTGTTGATACAAAGACAGAACAATTAAAAAAACATGAGAAAATTCCTTCTACCCGACTGGACTCGAACCAGCGTCTGTTGCCCAAACGTGGCTACAAATCTGTCTGTATAATATATATGTACATACCTGAATTTTACTCTATGTATTATTACATAGGAGTGTGTACGAAACTTTGGTACGCAACCGTAAAATCCTTTACCTACTGTAAGCTGACAGACTTGATGGCTCTTGTTCTCCGTCTGACATACGTCAGACGTCGAAATAATTACTGTTAAATAAGTAATACTCGATCAAATTAAAAAGACGCATGCTGCCAAGTAGCTTCATACTTCACATTGTCTCTTGATTTGGTCGAACATTACTTATTTGACAGTAATTGTTTCGGACGGACGTCGGACGGAGAACGATAGACCCTCTGATACGAGTCGGACGTTGTGCGCAAACGGTCTAAGGGTCCTGGTGAAGTTATAGGCACATGGGATTTGCCACTGTACGTCTTGAGGCGACAGGTGCAGTGACATCAGATCTTCGCAATTTTAACTTCTGAATGGCACTGCAAATTTACTCTCCTTATCCATATCTAACGTAATCGATATTTTTAGCGAAATTGAGTGATTAACAGATCTGAGATCAGCGAAACGGGGTCTAATCTTGTTCTCTGTCTGACATGCGTCCGAAACAATTACTCGACCAAATCAAAATACAATCTCAAGTATGAAGCTTCATTCGCAACATGCGTCTTTTATTTGATCGAGTCTTACTAATTTGACAGTAATTATTTCGGACGGATGTTGGGCTGAGAACGACAGTAGACCCCCAGACTCGCACTTGAAACTCTCTTGTCGGCTTCAATGTTATAATTAAAAGCATTTTTTTAAATAATATCAAGTGATGGTACGAAAAAATGGTGCGGCTGGCGTTAAGCCACACGTCTATCTATAACAGTTGAAGTACCACTTAAAGTTTTAATCACAAAGATCTAAGGGGAATCTACCACTTTATACCTATCACTCTGAGACATATATTTTTTTAAATTAAATGGACTTGGTGTTGACCACTACCTAGGTCTGGAGCAAAGACAGGATCTACGATGGAACGAGCTCTCCCAGAAGATGCCTGTTCAATCAGTTACTCGGGTTGTATGAGTTCGGAAACACAGTCACAGGCAGGGAATTCCATTCCATAAAAGATGATGAAAAGCGCTCAGTACGCCTGAAGGGAATATCGACCAAGTAAGGATGATATCCCGCCTCATAGGGTCAAAAGCACGTCAAGCTTGATACTTAAGATTTAAATCCAACTCTATGCCACTTACGATAAGAACGGTCCAAAGTACAAACTGTACGCCTGGATGTCCGATGGTAAAAGAGGGCGGGCGAGATGAGCTGATGGAGCTTATTGGCACACTTACTGAAATATATTCTGTAATAAAACCGACAGACGGGCAATTTTGCGCTGGTGGGCTAAACTATGAAGTTTAGATTCCAGCTTATCGTCGCCAATAAGTCTCCTGGTTCTGTGCTCAATCGAATCAAGAGCCTCAAGTTGACCGTTATGTCGTGAAGTTTCACCAAAACCTTTATCCTTCAAAACCGGATGCAAAAAATCTCTCATTACTGCTTGACGGAAAAATAGTTGTGACGACGGTATTTCCCTGGATAATTCCTTATTAGTAATAAATGAATAAATATCGACATAAATTTAAATTGGAAGGATCATGTGAATAAAGTTGTTGGTAAACTGTCTAGTTTCACATATGCTCTTAACGAGCTCAAAAAATCTACTGACCTTAGGACAGCAACTAGCGCTTACTACGCGTAAGCTTATGCCTGGCTTAGCTATGGCGTTGCATTGTGGGGCAACAGCACTGACGCAAAAAAAGTTTTTGTGTTACAGAAGAAATGTATCCGCATACTCGCTAATATAGACTCGTTTGCAAGCTGTCAATCGTATTTCATTAAATATAATATCTTGACTTTACCGTGTATATATATTTTACAAATGTGTCTTATTGTCAAGAATAATTTAAATGCATATCCTATTGTCGTTCAGTAAAATTAAGACCCAAATGCAGACTAGCAACAACAGTTTCAAAATTACAAATGGTCAACTTGGGGCCATATTCGATGTCAATTAAAATTTATAACGCACTCCCTCACTTTTTAAAACTGATAAATAGCGTAAAAATGTTTAAAAATCAACTTAGTAAACATCTGTCTCAAAAATGTTACTATTCATTGCAAGACTTTTTTAATGACAAGGAAAATTGTTCATAACGTCATAAAAAAGGAATTTTGATATGTTAACTATATTTATAAAAAATATGACATAATTATGTAATTTAATAAAATGACAAATGTTATGACCATTATTATATAATTCTAGAATAATTTGACGATTAATTTTTTTGAAATACTTTACACTTCAATTTGACATTCATTTTCCAATTAATTCATTGACTTTTCAGAAAATATTTGTTTAGATTTAATTATCATTATAATGATATTTTAATTAATGGTAATCAAAATGTATATTTAAAAAATTGACATTGCTACGCCCTTACAGGGTACATGTTTGATACTGTAAACTACTATAAGAACTATTATGTAACAACATGTTTTGCAATAAACGTTATTATTATTATCTTATTTATTTTAAACTCTCGCCTCTCCCAAGGCCTAAAAAATTATTATTATTATTATTATTATTATTTTACAACAAGCTCTACTACTACAAAAACAGATCAGATTTCAGCTACATATCTAGCTCTCACCTGCATTGACGTTAGCATGCAAAACATCGGGTTCTTTGAAGAAATTATACTGTCGAACTGCTGCGTACCAGTAAGAGGATACTTCTTGCCCTGAAAATCATTATCGCGATATTTGAAACTGTACATTTGTAAACAAAAATTGTCAACTGAAGCTGTGTAATATTTGAAATTTAACAATACTCGTATTCATATTTCATAGTAGCTACAAATAGCCTTCTGCTTCAATCAGAGTTTACTTAAAAGTATATTGATGGGCAAAAAGCCCGTGTCATTTTTGCTACTAGCTACTGTAAGCCAAAAAAGAACTTTTCACTTCTCATTGCTGGGTGTAGGCAGCATAAAATAGAATTTTATGCTCTAGTGCATAAAATAAAAAAACTATCACATTAAATATGTCTAAGTATTGTAATTTTACATTAAATTTTAATGAAATAATCGTTTATTTGTAATATTGCTGTTTAATTTCTCGCAATCGAAGTGAAAAGCAGAGTGTATAACTCGTTCATAAAACCCATTTTACTCTAGACTTAAGTAAACATAATATACTCGTCTCGGATACAACGATGCGTTTTATGCACTTGTTGTATAATCTACCATTTTACCTTTCAAATTTTATATTGTCCATGGTCATTTTAGAAATAATATTTTGGCATTATAAAGTGGTTAAGTTTCCCGCGTTTCGTCAAAATTCAAATAAGTTCGGGAAAAATGGCGTGTTTTTGTTACAGTTACAGTTTTTACACCAATTAATTTTTACTCTAAGTATATTGCATTTTGAGTTTCTTAATTATTTGTTATCATGGCTCTATAGCAAATGGTAAACGTGTAATATTTTATAATGGTAATGCCAAACCACACACATGTTCACAAAACCCGTAATTCACCCGAAATTTACCCGTAATTCAGTTTTTTCTATACCTATCTCGGGCACCAGTCTCTCACAAAACAGTCTGACCAATTTTTAGACTTGTATTTTTACCTTAAGTTCCTTACTGTTAAGCCTGTTTTGTGATTGAGAAATAAATAAACTTCATAAACTTCAAACCGTCAAAAAATATTACAGCTAGGATGGGATGTGCTAGCTCATCAGATTTCCCCCTTCAGATTTTCACTAGTTTCGGTCTTTACAAAACTTTTTGAATGGACACAATTTTGATAAAGAGACCATTAAACAAAACAGAACTGTATTTTTAAGTAATGACAGGATTTTTTATGAAAGAGAGAATTTTAAAATTACCCAAAAGATGGCAAAAGATGATACTTAATTAATGAAAGTTATTTTTTATTTAAAATCTTATTATATTTTCTTTGAAACCGCACGTACTTTTTGGTCAACTCAATAAATAGCAGAAGTATACCTGTGATGTCAGGCTGCAAAGCGCTCACCGGCCGTTGGTATAGATTCTGTCCTACATCACGGTCGTTGCGATAGTAGAATTTGTTGGTGTGCGCCAAATGATTCGCCCAGGCTTGCGCGTAGTCGCAAAGCTAAAACATTAGTTATATTATTTGCTGTGTGGGACCCATTACAACTTCCCCACGGGATGATTCAAATCCAAAAATGTTTTAAAATACAGGCCGCTGAGGTTGAGACCAACCTAGTAAGTAATTAAATATATTTATCAAGAGGCCTCGCGCTCTTCCTTAACTCAGACGTACTTTTAAAAGTACTAAATTTAAACAAAATACAAACAATTTGAAAGAATTACAATTAACTATTTTAAACATTACTACAAAGAAATAAGTGTGTTTATGTGTGCGTGCGATCGTGAGTTTCTGTGTGTCTGTGTGTGTCTTAGAACTATGGACAGGATATGTAGTGAAGTGACGTGGTTGATTGTTAGTAGCTAACAAAATTTGTAAATGTGTAGTATTATTGCACAGAAAGTGGCAGGTAGCCTTCTGCATTGTTAGCAGCTTTTTACTGAATCCTTCTTTTCTGGTAAGATTTTTGTGCAACAACAGCGTAAGTATATAAACTAATGTAGTAAGGTATAGGAAATAAGAAAGCAGTGAAGGGGAGAAATGGGCAATCGTGGTCAGCCACTCGTGTACCTAAAAAACTAAACGTGAGCCGGGAGCGGGATAGCCCGGTATGGCTTGGTCATCAATCCCCATCATCGCGGCGAACGATTCGTTCAGTGGTAGTCAAGCGTTGGAGCGAGATAAACATGTAGAGGTATAACTGATCTAGTTCATTTCATTATGTACATTAGTGAAAATTTTAAGTATGTTGAAGGGTTTATTCTCACTAGTTCGATTCATTAGTTCGATCGTCGAACTAGTGAGAATTTTTTTTCTCACTAGTTCGACCGTCGAACTAGTGAGAGTATTTGTTCTCACTTGTTCGATTTCTTAGTTCGATCCGTTAACTTATTATTCTTTTGAGATACAAAAACTACAAATATGTGTGATATGTGTAATAAAGATCACAAATACATACATTGCATAAATATAAAAATTAAAATCGCTTGTATAGGTATAATAAATGATTTATTGGTCAAAGACCTAATTAAAAATGACAAAATTACAATCACACATAATTAAATTATTTGTAAACATAATATGTTGGAACAACTATATGTTTTATATCCTATACTAGTGAGAAAAAAAATTCTCACTAGTTCGACGATCGAACTAATGAATCGAACTAGTGAGAATTAATGATTCTGGCACCTATTTATAGATAGATCATAGGCAATAGGAGCCAACTGAGAGTCAGGGAGATTCTGGCTTCAGGGGTGACTGGCATTTTTTCCATTGAACCCCAACGTGTTCACTAAAGAAGACTTACAAGCAGCTGAAATGCTGCAATCTCAACCTATTGTTTAGCAATCTCAATTAAATGACGAGAATGATGAATTCGGACAATACAATGAAATGTGGTAGATACAAGTGCACTTTGTGTGTGCTTGGGCTCATGCAGAATGCACAGTGAGTGACTCCGGCAAGGGCTACGTTTGTGATATTTATTTAACCCTAATTGCAAATAGATGGCCATAATTGCCAACGCATAAGGGCAATGGCAGTCAAAATGTAATTTTTTTTAAGTATTATGATTCCCAAATTATAAAGTCAAAATGATTGAAATGTATCTTAATTATTAATATGTTAATTTTATTATAAGGTGGTTGCAATAAATATTTTGTTTGTAATTCGATAGTTATTAAATTATCCCCTTTTCCCCATTGACTTACAAATAAATGGACGACGGGTGTAATACAAAAACCACGAAAAAAATGTCTCAAGTCAACCTATTTAAACGTAGTAACATGTAAAGGAATATGAAAAAGCTAAAACGTTGAATTTAAATTGTAATGTCATCGCAGTACTGTCTAATTTTGCTTGCTTCGCTGTCAGTCGAACAAACGAAGACTAGAGCGTGAATGACGCTCTGTATACGATTTTAACGCCCTATAAGTTCGGACACTTTTTAGCGCGGACCCGACGTCCATATAATTGTAAGTCAATGCTCTTCCCCTATGATTGTGAGCTAAGATTTGAATTTGAAGATCTGTAAATACCTCGGGCGCCATATAAAGCTGAGGAGCACCATGCCGCTGGCGGTAGACATTGTGCCAGCAAAGACACTCTGTGATGAAATCGCTATCCTGCCACGCTGTCCGCACTTCGCTCCATTGCACCACCATTGTTACTGGCCGGTTGAGTAGCACCTATAATGACAACATTAGACTATTATAAATGTTTACTTGCCAATAGCTACCCTTAAATAAGATTATATATCATAAGGAAAGAAGGCGTTTATGACAGGGATGTACATTTGTCGGGATATCCTGCGCCTCGTATTCTAATCTAACACCTGCATGCTGGACGTGGTCTGATGCAGTACGGTAAATTGGCTACAGAAGTGTGGCGAGCGAATGAACGAATTAATGGTAATTATTTGCCGCGTCTCTCCATAACAATTGCGGTGTTGATTAGATCTTGAATTCGCAAAGATCTGAGTTATAAGTTGCAAGTCCCAGGTAATGTAATTTCACCAGCACCCTTACCCTTCAAAACCGAAACGCAGTAACGCTCACAGTGGCAGAAATAGGCAAGGTGGCAGAACTGCCCTGGACGAACTCTTTCACAAGGAGCTCTACTGCTACTCGTCCATAGTCACCTTTTCAAATTAAATTTTGCATGTCCAATGTACGTGTGTACATTCCAAGAAACTCAGAAATGCGAGCCCCGATTCTAACCCACGGCCTCTGCTCGAGAGGCGGTAGGTCGAATAGTTAAGATATCATATATGGCTTTTCAAGCCTGTGATATAGAATACTTATTTATGATATTTATCGTTCTATTTCTATGTGACAGATGAAAATTAAAAAGGTACGACAGGCTGTGCATAAAAGGTACGACAGGCTGTGCATTGAGGTGCTGGTTCCTACACTTGTATATGGCAGTGAATGTTGGGTTTGGCAGATAAAGCACGGAAGTAGAATTGATGCAGTAGAAAAGAGAACTTTGAGAAGTATTGTTTTTACACATTCGGGCCCGTACCGAAACACATCCGAGCAGTAAAAAACAATGATGCACGGAAGTCTGCTATAGCACAACATCTCACACAGACTGACACTAACCACTGGATCGAGTTGCATAGCCCCCAGGTACTATCGACAGAACGTCACTACATACCACGGTTGGTACGAGAAGCCATCGAGATCACGAAGTACAAAACATTTAACCGTGATGATGGTTTTAAACTGTCCAGTGCATGGAATCCGGTCCTTAGTGCGTGCAGTAATAAAAACAAAAACACCTCGAGTTCAGTTTCGCGTGTGAATACAGTGAGTGTGGTTTGTGTGAAAAAACTGAGTGACAATGGTAACGCCACAACAAATCGCGATGAAGGTAGTCGTCGACAGCGCAAGAGGGTAGACAGATATGTCTGCTCTTAAAGCTGTCATCTGCAGCCGTCCAGTCAACCCGTGACCATGGAGCGTGCAACCGTTCCGAAATATCGGGGAAAAAAAAAAGAAGTCATACCGTGGTAAGAAACTTAGTTAATCAATTATGAAAATTAGTTAATCATTTGAGAAGTATGACTGGACTGGCCCTGGTGATACTGTGGATTATCTTCTGGCTTTAGGAACGAGGCTGGGATGGACAAGTCAAGGACCCTCTGTTGGTGTTTATTGCGCTGGAGATACCGTAAATACTCTACACGCTTCTTTTCTGTTACTATCAAAACTACATGTCCAGGTTTAATTGACCTAGCCGGCTCATTATTATGTTTATGTATAAGCAAACTCACTTTTGAAGCGGTTTTTTAAATCGCTACATAGCTTTGTTATATACCCCCAACGCGATGATAAAATGATACTATCAATTAGTTCAATACTTATGTTATTGTTAGACACTTTAAGCTGTAAGAAATGTGAAATTGTAACCGTAACCAAATTTTCGGAATTGTTCGAAATGTATGTATTTCAAAGGTTCTCTCTACCTTACACATCACAGTAAATAACTCCTGAAAGCTTAGTGCTGCTGCATCTAGCACTCTTCTTAAAATATCCTTGACAGACCGAACAGAACAGAATGTTTAGAATAAAACAGTGTGATAAGAGAGCATTGCGGCGTGGAAGATGTAGTGACAAAAACAGAGAAAGGGATGGTTAAATGGTTCGGACATGTAGAGAGAATGAATGATATAAGACTGACGAAACAGAATTACAAGGCGAGTGTAAGTGGGCAAGTTGGTAAGGGCCGACCAAGGCGAACTTACCATGACCAAATTGAGGTCATACTAAAGAAGAGTCAGGTCACAAATACCCTTAACCGACGAGCGTGTATGAAAGCGCTGATGCCTGTTGATGAGGCGAAAGATGTGTCTCAGGACCGTAGCAAGCGGAAGACTGTTGTCTCTGCCTACCCCGCTGACAAGCATATGTATGTATGTACATTTTTCTTGTCGAATACTTAAAGAATTTTTATAGTTCAGAATTCTTAATAATTAAGAGTTAATTTATATTAAAACAGTCTAGACCCTACACCGTCTAAAATGTTTCAAGCAGCTAAAAATACGTCCACGGCCGAGACCTCGCAAGCTGCACAATTCAAGGTTGAACTCTAGAAAATACTCGTATGCCTACAGCGGAATAGCTAAATGCACAGTTCTAATAACCCGAAATAAAGTATGAAATGGTTCTCGGTGGTTCTTCTCTTCTTACAACTGCGTTAAGGCCACAATTTGTGACGAAGGAAGCAGTCTTATCGCTACGCGTAATTTATTTGCAAGCAACAATATTGCATCATTAACGCTATATCTGCAATATTGCCACATTTCAGGAGAGAGGTTTCATGATTCTCATTGTTTTCATGATAATAAATTTGACATATCTTTTTTATATAATACTAAGTGACGGAACGACGAAATCGTGCGCCTGCTGGTAAGCGACACGCCTGTCCATAACAGTATCATTGCCACTCAAAGCTTTAAATTACAAAGATCTAGGTGCAACTGAGACATAAGTTGACAAGTCCCAAGTGCCTATAATTTCAACAACATCCTTCGAAACCGCAGTACTGCTTACATGACTGCTAGACGGCAGAAATAGGTAAGGTGGCAGTACATCCCTGGACGAACTCTTTCACAAGGAGCTGTATTGCTACATATAATACATAATTTGTATGTAAAAGTTCGTATTATTTATATAATTTTCAATTGATAAAAGCACTGTTTACGTATCGATCACGTTGGATCACGTTGTTGACATTTTATAAATATGTGCCAGATAAACACACAACCAGCCTGGTCTCAAACTTGAGAATTCCCTGTACTTTGAGTACCAGAGTAACGAATTTATTTCTTACGCCCTAAATATTGTCCTGAACAGAACCTATAACAAAAAAATATGTTTCCTTAATTAGTTCTAGCGGAAATTACACCCGGAACCTTCTAATATTTTGCCCATATTACTAACCGGCCACCGAGGCCTTCTATGTTATCGATAATAGTGTGTAATTGTATGGGAATTTTCAAAATTTTTTCCCAAAAACACACAGTATTTTTTGAAAAATTTTGGAAACATATATTTCTTTTAAAAAATAATTTGCTTTTCATGGCCCAACGTTAATCACTACAAACACAAAAAATCTCAATAAATATTAATCACTACAATTACTACGTACAACTTTTATAAAGTATCTCCCATTCGAACACCCGTCAAACCGTAAACTTTTATTGAAGATCACGAACGTTATTTGATTACGTAAAGTTCTAACAGAATTTTGGCATGATATTGGTTTCTGCCCACGTCATGTGAGTGCATTCCAATCTTTGTGATCAATACACTCAATGGATAGCTTTCAACAGAGCATCACAAAATAGTATTTATTATAGCTCTTACACATGTGACTGTTCTGTGTATTATTTTTAATGCGAGCTATATTTAATTTTATTAATATTTGCTTTTTTATTTCATTATAGCACTCAAGAGATGATGTAGAGACCAGTATAGAGAGGAGGATGTTTTGATGGTTTCGTGATGTAGAAAGAATGAATGCTAGTAGGTTGACGGCACAAATTTATAGAGCGAATGTGGATGGGGGCGTGGGGAGAGGTGGACTTCGGCGTACATACTTCGACCAAATTAGAGATGTCCTTAAAAAAGGGGTTAAAAATACCAAGAATAACTGACATGTATGAAGAGAGTGATGGGAGTGGAGAAGGCGATGGAATCTTCTTTGTCAGGAGCTCAGCAGAACCTCCACCGTGGTCCCTGACAACCCCGATGGGAGAAGGCTTGATGATATGAATCTATATACCCACTCCATATTTCGTTTCGAAAAAACGTTATTTCTTTATTTTGCCGCATTATTGAGCTATCGAATATTTCTTGGCAACTATACAGTACAACTTTATGTAAGTACAAGACATTTAGCGTAAAATATAGTGTAATTGAGGCGAATCCAGGATTGGAATTTGTATGGCAAAAATTCAATTATCTCCTGACGCATTTGCTGCAGGAATTGACGACGACTAAAATTGAAATATCTGTTGGCGTAAGGATTTGTTAGGTCTGTGGCGTAAGGTAAAAAATTCGTCGACTGTCATTTTTTCATTCATTTGTTTTAATTTCCTTCAAATTTTGCGTTGTTGTTTATTTCGTAAACTTCACTTGAGTTTTTTATTTATGAATCTTTGATTTAATCATTGTTAAATAGTTATTTATTTTTTCAGCCGTTTCTACTTCGTCAAAAATACATTTTGTTTTATTTCGATTTTCTTCAATAAAGATTGAGTAAAGTCGTACCGAGTCGACGTTAAAAGATATTAATTTTATTGCTACTTTATGCCTAACTTTTATTTATTGAATTAGAAACGTTACTATTTTATATTCACTCTTTTTTCCCATTGTGTTCCACTAAATATGCTGGTGTATGTATTTTGGTCTTTACGAACCGACTTTCGCCTCTTTTGTTTGCCTTAACAATAAACAAAAGAGGCGAATGTTAAATTGAAGAATGTGAAGTTTCGAAACTTTAAATTAAATAGTACCAACATGACCATATTGACACAATTAAAATTGTAATAAGTAAAAAATAAACATAAAAGAACATAAAATACAATTTTATAATCGTTAGGTTATACAATTTGAAACTTTCAAAACTACAACAAATGTTGATTGTGAGCGTTATTATTATTATTATTATTATTAAATAT